CCTACTCTTGATGCATTGTAAGTTGCCCAGAGTCGCCTGTAGGCAAGATGGGCAGCATACAAGTCATGATAGATAGATAGATAGATGATAGATAGATAGATAGATAGATAGATAGATAGATAGATAGATAGATAGATAGATAGATAGATAGATAGATAGATAGATAGATAGATAGATAGATAGATAGATAGATAGATAGATAGATAGATAGATAGATAGATATGTGGGTAAGAGGCTAGGCTAGGCTGAGGGGAAAGGGAGAGGTTTCCAAGCTGAGCCATGCTGGCTCAGGAATTCTGGGAGTTGAAGTCCACCAGTCATAAAAGAGCCAAGGTTACCTACCCCTGGCACTAGAGCAAAACTAGCTTACTTCATCAGTCAGCAATTCAGGAAGGTCAAAAAGAAGAGGAATTTTTGTTATAGGTAGCTGGGAGTTCAAAGCCACCAGGTCTGGTAATGGCCACTGGTTTAAGATAAAAAGTTTTCTTTAAGCTTGGCCCTTGTCTCATTTCAAAGGCACACCCATTTAGGCCGAAGGGATTTGCTACGGCATCCTGGTTTTTTTCCGTTTCCCAGTCTAGCTCAGAAGTCTTTAAAAAAGGCTCCCGCACATTCACAGACGTCAGCCATTGTTCTTCATGCAGGTATATTAGATGTTTAGAACAGGTCAGAAAACAGGAAAGCAGCAACTGAGAACCAACTTGAGGTCTTTGGGGCAATTTCTGAGTTTTTCTAAAAGTCGTGGGGAAACCGGTTGAAACAGGATTCCACTTGGACCACTGCTCTGATTCACCAAAATTCTTGAGATGTTCTCACCCCAAAGATCTCTCCTTATTTTTTTTCTTTCCTAAGGTGCTTTGCACCTACTACTTGATCCTTGGGTTAAAACCTTCCTTAATTTTGCATAGCACCTAGGAATTTATATGCACTTTGTACCGGTAATCCTCAGCTTACAACCGTTCATTTGGTGACTGTTCAAAGTTACAACAGCACTGGAAAAAAATGACTTAGGGCCATTTTTAACACTTACAACCATTGCAGCCTCCCCAGGATCACGTGATCAAAATTCGGCCGCTTGACAACTGACTCGTATTTATGACGGTTGCAGAGTCTCAAGGTCACGTGATCCCTTTTTGCAACCTTCTGACAAGCAAAATCCACGGGGAAGCCATATTCACTTAGCAGCCGTGTGACTCACTTTAACAAACTGCAGTTGATTCGCTTAACAACGGTGGCAAGAAAAGTCGTAAGATGGGGCAAAACTGACTTAAATAATGTCTCAGCTGAACAACAGAAATGTGGGGCTCAATTGTGGCCGTAGGTTGAGGAGTACCTGTAGACATATACCCAACAATTATAAATATAAAAACAGATTTAAAATTAAGAAAATTAAAACATACTAAGACATGGTTTTAGAGAGGTGGGAGCGGGTTTTCTTTTAGGAGGAAGAGAGAGAACAATTCAAAAAAGTAGAGATACTCTCTACCATCCAGTCAGAGCTGAAGAAGCTTCTTGGATGAGAAGCGAAATGTCTTTTAAAAAAAACACACACACAAGAAAGTCCAGTTGCCTCCTGAAAAAGCAGCTTTGGGACAGTCGGAGACGTCCCTCTTGCAATCTGCCTAATTCTCTACCCGCTTCTAACATTTTCAAGTCTGCTTCAGCATCTTCCTGTTCCTCGCCTCCCCCGCCACGCCAGCCCCCCCAAAAAATAATAATAATAATTCAGCCACCAGGACAGAAGCACCTGCCAAGCTGCCAGGCAGGGTGTAGGTTGCTGCCTGCCAACAGGGAAACTGGAAATTCTGCCTCGCTTGGGCTAGAACAGGCTGTTACCCTCCCGGCTGGAAAGAGAGCCGAAGCATGGGATTCTGGGGAACAGGTGTTCGGCTTTCCCAGCGAGGTGGGTGGTGGCTGCGGCGGGCTTGGGAGGAGAGGAAAGAGAGACGTGGCAAGCGATGAGAAACACCACCCAGCTGGCCCAGCCTTTTCGAAGCTCAGCCTGATCTGGGCAGGCTGGCACTGCCCCCTCCTAGAATCCCTAAGCGGCGTGGCACTTTTGATTGCTGGAAGGGAGGGGGGGGTTACCATTCCAGCTGGGAGAGGGGTGCCTCCGGCTCCATCCCGTTGTTTTCTCAGCAAAGGGCAGTTTTGCCACGTTTTTCTACATGGTACAATCGGAAATCATCCAAGACAGTTTGTGCCTTATGGGTTTGAGGGTCAAGCATAGGAGCTCGGGTGGCACAGTGGTTGGGATGCAGTATTGCAGGCTACACTCTGCCCACAGCCAGGAGTTCAATGCTGACCGGCTCAAGGTTGACTCAGACTTCCATCCTTCTGAGGTCAGTAAAATGAGGACCCAGATTGTTGGGGGCAATATAGGCTGACTCTGTAAACCGCTTAGAGAGGGCTGGAAAGCACTGTAAAGCAGTATATAAGTAAGTGCAAATTCTATTCTATTCTATTCTATTCTATTCTATTCTATTCTATTCCATTCCATTCCATTCCATATTCTATTCTTTCTGTATTCTCTTATTCTATTCTTACTCTTATTCTTATTCCTATTCCTATTTCGGCACAGTGGTTTAGACTGCAGCATTGTAGGCTAACTCTGCCCACTGCCAGGAGTTCAATCCTGACAGGCTCAAGGTTGACTCAGCAATTCATCCTTCTGAGGTCAGTAGAATGAGGGCCAAGATTGTTGGGGGCAAGATGTTGGCATTTGTAAACTGCTCAGAGAGTGCTGTAATGCACTACGGAGTCCCTGTGGCTATTACTCCAGGAGTCGTTGCCGACTATACGTTGTATCAGTTTCAAGATCACTGGGCCAGTGTTGTCCAAAGACATTTCCACGGTCATGTGGCCAGCATGATAAAGCGCTGTTACTTTCCCACCGAAGTCCTACCTATTTATCTACCCATATTTGCTTTCAGACTGCTAGGTGGGCAGGAACTGGGCAAAAATGGGAGCTCACGTCGTTGTGTGATACTTGGATCTCAAACCTGGGCTGCCGGCTTTCCAGACGACAAACCCAGCGTCTTAACCACTAAAGCACCACGCCACCCTAACGCACTATGGGGTGGTATAGAAGTCTAAGTGCTCTTGCTATTTGGAGATCTTATAATAAGTTTCGCCAGTGCCTGGGATGAGTGTTTCTCAACCTCTGCAACTCTCAGGCCGGTGGACTACAACTCCCAGAATTCCAGCTGTGAAAATCTTATAATTTTGCCAGGAATCCTGGCCATCATGCCCTTGCAGCCTTCCTCACTTTCACTGGATAAGCAAAGCTGCAGGATATTCACCAAGATTCTGGCAGGCTGCCAGAAGAAGGAAGAAGGATGCTCTGAGACACAGAAAGATGTGAAAACTTCCATACCCACGACCACTCTCAATCTGAAAAAAAGGCTTTACTGAAAAAGCAGCTGCATTTAAGCATTATTTCTGAATTGGATGCAGTTACTCCTCGGCCCAACTATGACGAGAATTTCCATTGCTAAGCAAGGTGATCGTGTTGGGAGCTGTGCCTGGTTTTATGACCTTTTTGCCACGATTGTTAAGCGAATCACTGCAGTTGTTAAGTGAATCACTTTGCTGTTTTAAGCGAATCCAGTGTCCCAGTTGATTTTGCCTTTGGGAAGCTGGCTGGGAAGATCACCAAGGGCAGCCACATGATCCCAGGACACTGCAGCCATTGTAAATACATGCTTGATGCCAAGTGCCTGAATTTTGAGCAGATGACAGCAGGGTCATAAATACGAGGACTGGCGATATAATTTTTTTTGCAGTGCAATTCTAATTTCAAACGGTTGCTAAATGAACGGTTGTAAGTCAAGGTCTATCTCTCCCTGGTTTTGGATAGCTGAAGGAGATGGACAGGTCACAGTTGAATTAAATGGGGAAGTCAATGAGAAGAGCTTCTGGATTTTAAAATGAGCAGATGGAAACAAACAGGTTCCATGCTTGGTGATTTAAATACAAACAACACCCCAATCAAGAAACTGCCAAAAAAGCCAACAGTAAACAGCTCAATCAAAGAATCTCTAAGACCACCCTCGCCAACACTGTCAGGGCAAGCCATTAGAACAGGGGTCCCTCACTCCCGGTCTGTGGACCAGCACCTGTCAACGCTGCTAACATCGGACGTTCTTGCTTTGACAATATATGAAGATGCAGCCAATTTCCCCTTAACTTGTGTGCTACTTTTAGAGTTAGAATTAGATGATACTGTGGGGGGGGGGAGGAAGAATGTGTATGGGAATTAGTTAGACATAACAACATCCTAGTAGAGTGCTTTTCAAGGTTGTTTGCAATAAGAGATGATAAGAAATGGCGGGTTGGAGAACTGGAGGGAAGGTCTGCATTTCAATTGGAGAATGTGATTTATGACTGTTAATTAGAGGAGGGAATTGTGCTTTGATACTATGTGTTTAGGGGAGGGGAATCCAGATTTCGGCTTCGACCACGTACGTGCGGATGCCATGCTACTCAAATAAAGATTCTTTAAGGTAAACAATGCCTCAGAGTTCTTTGAAGAGTTTCATCTGTCGGAACCATGACAGCACCGGTCCGCAGCACGCGAGAAAACAGGCCGCGCAAACAAGCGAAGCCCCATACGTGGGATGCAGGCAGCACACGAAACCCCACCCTCTCCGGTCCATGGAAAAATCTCTTTCCACAGAACTGGTCCCTAGTGCCACTGCATCAGAATATAAACTGACAGAAAACTGCACTCCTTACTAGCACTGATGTTACCTAGTTTGGGTAAAGAAATGTCTGCAAGAAAACAAGCAAGTTTAGGGAGCACCAAGGACCCTCTTAAACGCCTCTGACGACAGACTGATGAGCACGCTGGACCCCAAATCCATCAAAATGTCCTCCTCCGCCGAACCAAAAAAATGTTATTTTTTTCCCCTCTTTTAGTTAAATTTGCAGACTTTTTTTTTTCGGTCTTAGGAGGTGGCTGCTTTGGCTTCCCCCCCCCCAACCTTCGCAACACTCACCAGTTGCTCCCCTGAGAGGACTTCCAGAAGACGCAGCAACATGCGTCCATCCCGCAGGTCGCTGTACAGATCGCTGATGCGGCAGGTGACCCGGGCCAGGTGAGAGTTGACCCATTTGGTGAATGTCTTCTTCTGTACCGCTTCTCGTTCATCTGCAAGAGAAAGCCAGTGGTTTGATGAACAAGGACTCCCGACCCACCGTCTGAAGCTTCCTTGGAGCTCTTCGGCAAGGAAAGGGTGAGCTTTTCGTACTTTTCTGCAACTGCCAAGCAAGGGCCTATTTTTTGATCTACGTTGCTTTAATATCACAGAAAGATTGGCCACAAAGGAAGCACCAGCATACAGGGTTTTGGTGTGTGTGTTTTTTTTTAAATGCACGTGCAGCTTTTGCGATGGAACCAGAGACATCCCCCAGGGGATGCAGAAAAGTCAAGATGGAAGGCTGCAACCTGCAATCGAAAACCTGCTGCTTTATTACAGACCGATCAAGGAGAATTTTTGTAGCTTGTAGGGTTGAAATGAGGGGTCCTTGGTGCTCTCTGAGCTTGGTTGTTTTCTTGTGGAGATAACGTCATCAGTGCAAACCCCACTGCCTTCTGGCACTCAGGATGTTGCTTGTGTTGGGTATTTGGGTTACGTTGGATAGTATCCAACATATGTTAGATGTTTGGGTAATGAAACATCTGTAAGAAAACAGCCAAGGACAGAGAGCACTAAAGAACAGGGCTTTTCAGCCTTTTCACCCATTGTACCACTTTTAGGATATGGCAATATCTGAGTACCACCAGTCGCCTAGCAAGGTGTCAAAAACTTGATGACCAAAAACAAAAGTGATAAAGTACAGGTAATCCTCGACTTACAACAGTCCGCTTAGTGACTGTCCGAAGTTACAATGGCACTGAAAAAAGTGCCCCCCAAGCCACAGCCGAGCAAGACACCTGCCTGCCCGCCCGGCGGCGCTCTTCCTCCTGTCCGAGGTTTTCATTGTTGTGAGCGTTTCTGTTGAGGATTGGTAGCGGGGCTGGGGTGGGGGGGGTGTTTGGTTTTTATTCCCCCCCCCGTCTGCTGGGTGGTTGCAGCAGGTTTTGGTCACTTCACATGACCCTGGGACACTGTGACCGTCATAAATATGAATCGGCTGCCAAGCATCTGAATGTAAATCACAAGACCCTGGAGAGGCTGCAACATTCCAGCTGATCGGTGCTTCTTCTGGGCTCAGCAGAAGCGCCAGGATCAGTGCTGCTTTCCAGCTGATTGGTGCTTCTTCAGGGCTCAGCAGAAGCACCAGGATCAGCGCTAAGCTCCAGCTGGAGCCTGGCGCTGATCCTGGCGCTTCCACTGAGCCCTGACAGTCCCGAAGAAGCGCCAATCAGCTGGAAAGCGGCACTGATCCTGGCGCTGCCGCTGAGCCCTGACAGCCCTGCAGCTCCAGCCGTCTCTCGCTCAGGCTTGTGCGGTGCTGCCACCGGTTCAGCTCATTCCCCTCCCCTGCTACCATTTTTCTAGGATGGTCGCGTACCACCTGCCAGGTGCCCATGTACCACAGGTGGTACCCATACCACTGATTGAAAAGCTCTGCTAAAGACCACTCACTTTATTATGTATTTTGTATATGCAGCACATGTAAGAAAAGGAACGGCCGTAATTATATCATTTATTTGATTTTTTTATCCCACCTTCATTACTTTAGAAGTAACTCAAGGTGGCAAACATAACCTTCCTCTCCCTCTTTTTCCCCAGAACAACAACCCTGTGAAGTGGGTTGGGCAAACATCTGAATTTTGATCACGTGACCCTGGGGGTTGCTGCAACAATCGTTAAGTGTGAAAAAACGGTTAAGTCACTTTTTTTCATTGCCGGTGTAACTTCAAACGGTCAGTAAGCGAACTATTGTAAGTTGAGGACTATCTGTACAATAAGACAAAGGTGAAGAGATGGGAAAAATCAGGGAACTCGCAGAAGTGGCAGCCACTGCTGAATTGGGATAGGAAAGAAGGGGTTTCATTTATTTGCATGCATTTCAAGGACTTTTAAACTTTTTAAAATAAAGGCGCTTTGCCAAGCAGACAGTAACGTGCACCCAGCACCTGTTCAAAGGTAACAAGAGAAGGGAAATCAGACAGCCCTCGTTTGAATTAAAGATTTTTTTTCTTAATTAAAATGGCTGCATTCTCTAATCACGGCATTAATCGTAATCGTGTTGATCTCTTAATTTTTATACGGCAAGGTAGCTTCCTAAGCACTCATGACTGCCATTTATGTTTTTGTACTGTTTCTATGCTGTTTTTTTTAAATTGCTGTTTTCATTTTTGAAAAGCTTAACTGATAATTACAGAACGCTGTAATCCAAGGAAAAACGGTTTTCAGACAGGTGTTGTATAATCCAAAGGTGGCGTTGTATTATGAATGCTACCTTTTGCCCTAAATTAAAAGCAGGCAATCAATTAATGTTTACATAAAGAGACAGTATTATTATTAAAAAAAGAACTTGATTACCGTTAAAAACCCGAACTCACAATTGTTCATAAAATCAAGGGGGGGGGGAGGAAGAAAAGATAAAGGAAATTTAGTTGCTGTCCTATTTAAATTATGATATGAAGCCCAAATAAGATCAGGTATCTTACACCCAAAATTGGATCAAAAATACTGACAACCGGAAACGGAACTTCTCTTCTTAAGCAAGGCGGTTGTTAAGTGAGTCACAGTTGATTTTATGACCTTTTTCCCCATGGCTGTTAAGTGAATCACTGCACTTAAGTGAATCAGGAAGTCATTAAACAAATTCTGGTTTCCTCTATTGACTTTGCCAGTTGGAAGCCAATTGGGAAGGTCACAAGTGGCAATCACGTGACCCTGAGTTGCTGCAACGGTTGTAAATACACACTGGTAACAAGTGCCCCAATTTTGATCATGTGACCGCGGGGTTGCTGTGACAGTCGTAAGTCTGAGGACCGGTCATAAGTTACTTTTTTCCCAGTGCCATTCTAACTTCGAACAGTTACTAAAGAAATGGTTGTAAGTCAAGGACCAACTTATATGCTTCTTAAACAACCAACGTATTTTTAACATGAGAATTCCTATCACTATGTTTTTCAAAACTGAATAATATGTTTACTTTCCCTGCCATTTTATACAGCAATTAAAGATCTTCATGAGGTTCATGAGTTTGCCTATGATGTCTTCTTTTATAAAAGCCTGAGCCGTGGTGGCGACGACGGAGAATGAGGTGGCTGGATGGAGTCCCTGAAGCAGCAGGCGTGAGCTTAAATGGACTCCAGAAGGTGGTAGAGGACAGGAAGGCCTGGAGGAACGTCGTCCATGGGGTCGCGATGGGTCAAACACGACTTCGCAACTAACAACAACAACCGGCTGAAAGTCCTAAAGCGAAGCAATTGAGCAGCATGCACAATGACCAAGTTGCTCATTCACTGCACTAGGGGATGGAAAAGCAAATATTAAAACTAGTCTTTCCCATTATCAGGGCCCAGGACCATATGTCTTTGTTTACACGTTCCTTCCAGTTTCCCAGAAAGCATCCTTTGTTGGCACCTGGATGATATGCAAATTGACCAGCATCAATGAGTAGGTTGAAGGGGAGATCATCAAATAGCGGTTGACAAGGCAGAACGATTCAACTGCCTAGGCAATCTCTAACTTCTTATCAAAGAAATCTTCTGCATTGCTTGTTAAGATGCCACAGAGTTCTCCCCCTTGCTAGGTGCCAGGTAATACTAAGTCTTATTGGTCCCAGGTGACTGTCAAGCTACACTGCTTTGATCTTCATTTTATTGTTCACTGCTTCAACCGTAAACAAGACAGTCCATGAAATTTACAAGATGGCTTTGATGCCCTCAGCCCCCACCTCTCCCTCCAATCTACAATAAAAGGCGGGGATCATTCCCTTACAGAAGACGGTTGTCCTCACAACAATTCATCCGTAATACAAAGGATAAGCTTTCAAAACACATGAAAAGGCTATATAGAAGCTGACCGTTAATATTTACAAATGAAGCTGGCAGCAGATGGTTGCTAAAAGAAACTCTCTCAACTCAGGATATTTGATTGCCTTGACTTACAACCATTCATTTAGTGACCGAAGTTACAAAGGCACTTGAAGAAGTAACATTTGTCAGTGTGTTATGTGGTTGCAGTGTGTTTTTGTGTTCTTGCATTTAGCGAGCTTGTAAAACCTAATAAAATTAAAGCAATGGTGCAAAGAGCTGACTGGTCACCCAGAAAGCGATGTAAAATAGTATTATTAAGTGAACAAGGCTACAGTTATAAAGAAATTAGAAGAAAAATTGGTGGAAACTTAACCAAAGGTGGCACCTCTACTGTACACTTTTCCCAAAAGGTTTCCACAATTTTGGCCACTACTGTATAATATATATCCTTGCAAAAAGAGCCATCCTGGTTGTTGTTGTTAATTGCGAAGTCGTGTCCGACCCATCGCGACCCCATGGACAACGTTCCTCCAGGCCTTCCTGTCCTCTACCATCTTCTGGAGTCCATTGAAGCTCACGCCTGCTGCTTCAGGGACTCCATCCAGCCACCTCCTTCTCTGTCGTCCCCTTCTTCTCTTGCCCTCCATCTTTCCCAGCATTAGGCCCTTCTCCAGGGAGTCCTTCCTTCTCATTAGGTGGCCAAAGGACTTGAGTTTCAACTTCAGGATCTGGCCTTCTAAAGAGCAGTCGGGGTTGATCTCCTCTAGGACTGACCGGTTGGATCGCCTTGCAGTCCAGGAGACTCGCAGGAGTCTTCTCCAGCACCAGAGTTCAAAGGCCTCCATTCTTTGGCGCTCAGCCTTTCTTATGGTCCAACTTTCACAGCCATACATTGCAACTGGGAAAACCGTAGCCTTGACTCTACGCACTTTTGTTGGCAGGGTGATGTCTCTGCTTTTGAGTATGCTGTCTAGATTTGCCATCCTGGTTAGGCTTGGGCTAAAGCCATCCCGTCAACTCACTCTGGATTGATCATTGTTAAGTATCAAATGCACACTTTGTGGCTTTCCACAAAAGCCGGCATCTGTCCTGCAGCTCCAGCAGACGCTGCTGCGCCTCTGCCCCAACCTATCGTGTGCACCCAATGTGCAGGAAGAATCAACCATGGTGGTGGGGCCGAGGGCTCAGCTCTGAGGTTGAGTCACTAGGACATGTCAGGACAGGGCTGGGCTGGGTGAAAAGCTCCACCATCTCCATGTGCTTTGCAGAGAAGGGAAAAGAAAGGTCACCCCGCGCCCTGACCTGGACCCCACTGGTCCGAAAAGCCAAATGGCCCGTCTGCTCAGCATCTCACAGATTAGCCAGCTGTCTGGAAGAGAGGGAGGCCTGTTGGCCATAAATAACTTTGGTGATCTACGACCCACAACGGAGAGGAGGGTGATTTTTCATTCTGAAATGCAGGAGGTGAGGGAGGTGCCTCCTTGTTCCAGAACAGTCCCTAGTCTAAAAAAAAAAACCCTTGCACCAACCGTTCGCTGGACCCCGTTACAAGCACCCGCCTTGCGAATTTTGTCCCCAGGTTCCACATGTCGCACTGGGTTAGGTTATAATACAGTTTGGATGCTTCAGAAAGCAACAGGAAATCAGGCTGAAATGATCCTACTATGGGAACCAGATCATCTTCTTCAATCAGATGATAGGTCACAACAGAATAAAGGCGTCTGAAGGGATCTTGAGGTCTTCTAGATCAAGCAGGAGACCCTATACCATTCTGGACAAATGGCTGCCCAATCTCTTCTTTTAAAAAACCTCCTTTGTTTCTTTGTTTAGAAACAGTGACTCTGGTTGAGGATAGTTACTGGGTTTTGCTAGCTCAGATTTAAGGTGAACATGTTGTGTGAACCCAGCCTTTACGTCAATTATGCAGCGGGCTGCCTTTTTATACTGGAAAAACTTGTTTGAAAAGGTGGCAAAATATATATTTTTTTCAACATAAAAAGAAGTAGCTGGATCACTGGGATCAGCCAATGTGGGAACTTTTCCGAATTTAAAATGAGGAATAAGTGAGTGTGGACCTAGGAAACCGAGGGCTACCGTACGTGCCTGCGTTTGTACGTGTTCATTCATTATTTTGCTTATTTTGTAGGAAACCTCCTTAATTCTAAACGAAAAGATTCAGGAGCATTTCATGATCGTCTCCTTTACTCTTTCTCAACTAACAGAGATTTGATTATTGAACACGGCTCATGCAATACATCCTAGTCCGAAAGCCAGGTTAATAAAAGAGTCATTGTGCTTACATAGCATGATACACCCAATCAAATAAATATCACAACTGAGTAGTATATTCTGAATTTCACAACACGCTAGGCAACACAGGAGTTCTATCAACCCTTAAACTTCACACCCAAGACCCTTTTAATTTAATGTTTTGTCCAGTTAAGGGGAATCCCATTACCAATCAGGATCTCATGTACTTATTCTACCCTATTTTAAAAAAAAATAAATCAGAAGTTTGGTTGCGTGCCGGAACAAAATACAGGTAGTCCTCGACTTAACGACCACAACTGAGCCCAACATTTCTGTTGCTAGGCGAGACATTGGTTCAGTGAATTGTGCCCCATTTTACGACCTTTCTTGCTGACAGTTGCTAAGTGAATCGCTGCAGTTGTTAAATTAGGAACGCAGTCGTTAAGCGAATCTGGCTACCCCATTGACTTGGCTTGTCAGAACGTCACAGAAAGGGATGACATGACCCCGTCATAAATATGAGGTGTCTGAATTCTGATCACGTGACCGTGGGGATGCTGCAACAGTTGTTAAGTGTGAAAAACGGTCATAGGTTCACTTTTTCCAGTGCCGTTGTGAACTTTGAACGGTCCCTAAAAGGACTGTTGTAAGTCAAGGACTACCTGTATACAGTGAGCTCGTTAAGGAAAATTATTATAGAAGCCGGTCACCTGGCTACGCTTCCTCCGAGTCACTACCTTTTTAACCTTGGGCACGTCCGTGTTTACCGTCCGGCACAAAAGACACTAAATCCCACGGAAGATGTAGTAGCAACGCTCAGACTGCGAGGCCGAAAACACCTTCCTCTCGTTCCCTCTGCATCCGAAGCCAGGCTCCGATATAAAAGGAAAATGCTGAACTAGAATAGATCAGCAAATTGTGTTCTATTCATCTGGAGCTTAACCAGAACTCTGGGGTCCGTTCCCACCAGACAGCCGTGTGTGGGGAAGTCGGGGATTAGGCTGTGAATGGGAGCAAGCGCTGGTTCTGAGTTTGTGCAGGTTTCCTATCTGCCCCCCCCCTTTTTTTTTTTTTGCAGTTCAATGACCTCCTGTCTCTGTGCATGGATAAATATGCCCCTCTGTACCCAGCTCAAGCCTGTCCTAAAAGATCAGCCTCTGCTTGCAAAACTTTTAAAAGTCTCTCTTGCACGCGCACACACACACACACACAACCAAACTCTTTATTTGTCCATACTGAAAAGCAGTCCATTCGTTAGAACGACCTATGGGGATTCTCAGTCATCCGGGTCAGGGTCGTCCTCAAGGTGCTTTTCCAAAAGGCAACTGGACTCTCTTTGTTTTTAGCACCTTGGGGATTTTGTTAGGATTGTGTTGATCCGTTCCAGGGTGAGGTCTTCCCACCCGCAGACCAGACACTAAAATTTAACTCGGCTCCCCATTACAGCAATGCAAGATTTGGCTCACACACACACACCCCTTTTTACGACACCCAGGCAAAACTCCAAAGCAAGGCCAGTTTGTTTTTTTTCCATTCCCGCCCACCCCACCCCACGACAGTTTCACCCTCACCACCCCACTGCAGAATCACCTGGCACTTAATCCCCAACCTCTGCAGATACAACAGACAACAATTGCAAAGGCACAAAACGCTTTTTCACTTGCCATAAACCCCATAGCTAACACAAAAAAAACATCTCATGGGAGGAAAGTTCAGAGTTTGAGATCAAGGGTTGAGGGAAAAAGGGTTTTTTTATTTTAGAGGGCTGGTTTTTAATCTCTGACTGATAAAATGCTGCCCGGACTCCTTTCCTGAAATGGGTTGCAGGCTGTCAAAAATTTGAAAAACTCTATCTTTACGCTGCCTCTTAATTAACTGGGGAAAAGACACTGTTGACTTGGGCAAAAGTTGAACGTAATCCAAAAGCAGGAACCCCAGTCCTCTTCTTTGGAGAAGGCAAGAAAGCATCAAAGTAAGCCAAGGTTTTTGCAGGGGCACCCAGATTTTAGACCGGGGTCTCCAAACTTAGCAATTTTAAGACTTGTGGACTTCAACTCCCAGAATTCCTGGTTGGGGAACTCTTGAGAGTTGAAGTCCACAAGTCTTAAAAGCTGCCGAGTTTGAAGACCCCCGTTTTAAACTATATCCCTCTGAAAAAGTAGGTGGGTGCCAATGTTCCCGCACGAAAGGAAATGTGAGTTTTTAAAGTGTATTTTCTCCTGGGCTTGCTCTGAGTGCTGCTTTTCCTGTTCTTAAGAGTCTTAAAAGCATTTTTTTTCCCTATTTACATTCAAGGTCAGTTCAAGTGTCATCTCTGCAAACATTGAATAACTAACGGGGAAAGACGGGAGGGGAAAGCCAGAGGCCCAATTTTAAACTGGCCAGTTTCCCCCCACCCCCAAGGGACATATTGGGACCATGCAGCCCTCAGTTCCCACAATTCTAAAAGATGCTTAGGTGAGGGGAACGGGAGGGGGTAGAAGGTAGTTGTGTGAATGAAGGCAGGGGAAGAGGAAAGGAAGGTGAGGGCTTAAGTTCATGCCACAATGCTTGCCACCGAATCATGGCTAATGTAAAGCACTGCCAACCTGGAAACAGAGATAGTAGCTGTGAGTCACCCTCCCACGTATCTGAGCGCTTGTCCGTCTCCCTTGCGACAGTCCGCGTTCCCTTGCTTTTCTGTCCTTCAGAAGGGGGCTACAGGGGCCCCCACCCACACCTACCCCAAGGTCCCCAAGAACCCAAGTTCCAAGTTTGGCTTTGCCCCTTGCAAATCCAGCCTGTGTGTGTTGAGCTAATTCCTGGCAACACCTTACAGATTAGCTTTCCTAAACCTGCCCCTTAGGCAGAGGGAAGGGAGCTTGAAGGATTTAAGGATCCTGGAGGGGAAGACATGCCCCCCCCTTCTCCATGCACCCATTTCCCCCCCCCTCTCCCCACAAATTCACCCCTTCCCTACCTTGAAGTTGCTTGAACCTGCCCTCCAACACGTTGGCGTACTGCACCGCATTGATAAAAGCTGCAGGGGACAGCTCGGGGGTTGGAGAAGGACCCTGGATCACCTCCATCAAATCTGTCTCCGTCTGGTACATCGTGCTGGGCGAAGGGACTCCCCTTCTCCCCCAGCTGGGAGCACCGAACGCGCCTGGCGACCTCTTCCCCGCTCCTGGAGGGTGGCGGAGGGCTGCCCAGCCAACTGCCCAGCCAACCACCAGCTGGGCCCAGGTAGAAGGAAGCAAGCAAAGGAAAGGAAAGCTCTCCCCGGGCGGCACCTTGGTACAACTGGAGCACTTCAAAGGGAGTTTTGCTCACCCCCTCCCAGGGAGGGAGGGGAAAGGGGAGGCTGAGCGAGATTTACATAAAAACAGGTTGGCCTGCTCTGAATGGCAGAGGGGTGTGTTTTGTGTGTGTGTGTGTGTGTGTGTTGAGCTTGGGCAGACATGAAAGGGGGAAACTGGGCTGGTGAGCACACACAGGAACACGGGCACAGTTTAAGCAGTCTGCAACTCGCACATTTTAGCACCGGGGGTTTTAGCCAAGGCTCTTTCTGAACAGGTTTTGTCCTCAGCTGCAGGCCAGGGTGCAAGCACTATTACTGGGTGACAGCAAAGATGACCAGCAGTCTTTCTGGGTTTTTTTTGCAGCTGTGTGCTGAGTTAATTCTGAAACCTCTCTCTTTCTCCACACTCCTCATTTGAGACAGGGTATAGTCCCCTCTTTAATACAAGAGACTTTTTTGGGGGGGATGCCTCACGTTCGGTTCTAAAAGCAATCTTTCTCTTCGGTTTTACTTTGGCATGATATACCTGCTTCCTGAAACATCTGTTTTCTGAATTTGCACCACACGCTGAATTCGAAGGAAAATTTGCATCATACACCGGACCTAATGAAACGGTTTGGATTTTGCACAACAAATTTGGATTTTTTTTAAAAAAAAAAACAACAACGCACACACACTACTAAAGCTAAAAACGAATTCCAAACTTAAAACAATGCATAAATCCACGTGTGAGATTTGACTCAGGAAGCATTTTATCAGAACAAAGCCATTCCTCCCTTTCCCCCCCCCAACACACAGTTTGTAAAGTGAGCACAATCAACTGTCCAGAGCTTAGTGTGGTTACTGTGTAAAATTGATGCTGGATAGAGTGATAACCCATTTCTTAGGCGAGCTAGCACTAAACGCTGGAATATTAAGAACGACTGAGAAGTACTTAGGTTTTTTTTTTTAAATATATATATTCAGGCTGCTTCAGAAGCAGACCGAATGTCGTGGCCCTTCTGTTGTAAGAAACGTGGCTTTGGATTAACCCCTGTAGGCAAGGCGGAAAGAAAAGCAAACGGAGGGGATGAACAGATGAGCTCAGCCAGTAGCAGGGGCCCAAACAATGAAAGATTTACATCCCAAAGTCTGCCTTTGTCTGACCATGGAGCTCCAGCTTGCTGTGGCTTTATAGACAAAATGACTGCCCTCCGAGAGTGTTGATTTCGGAAGATAAATCATCCCAGCATCATCCAGAGCTGGAGCAGAAAAAGGAGCTGTTCCTTCCAATAACCAAGGAGAGCTGAAAAAAAACCCCATCTGTAAGCTTTTGAATGACACAGAAGTCATCTTAGGGCCAGGAGTTTAAGCAAGCGAGAGATGAGAGGTTATTTGTTCCAATATGTGTTCTAATACCTAGAGCAGTGGTTCTCAACCTGTGGGTTGGGACCCCATTTGGGGTCGATCGACCATTTCACGGGGGTCGCCAAGCAAGGCTGTCCGCCATTTTTTTTGTCCACCATTTTTTTTGTCTGCCATTTTTTTCCCCTTTTCCGGCGGGTGCCTTACCTCCCTTGGGCTGGGCCAGCTGGTGGTCGGCCTGCTCCGTCTCTGCCGCTTGCCAGCTACGCCTCGGCCGGCGCAGGGGGCAGAACCATGCATGCACGGCGCTCCCGGGCAGGGAAAGTCCTCGACTTATGACCGGTTGGGTAGTCCTCGACTTACGACCGGTTTAGTCCTCGACTTACGACCGGTTTAGTCCTCGACTTACGACCGGTTGGGGTCGCGGCATTAAAAAGGTTGAGAACCACTGACCTAGAGGGCTGCCATCAAGAAGAGCGGGGTCAACCTATTCTCCAAAGCAGCTGAAGGCAGAACAAGAAGCAACGGATGGAAAGGAATCAAAGAGTAGAAGCAACCTAGAACTGAGGAGCAATTTTCCTGCTGACAGTGAGAACAATTAATCAGTGGAACAGGCTTATCTCCAGAAGTTGTAGGTGCTCCATCACTGGAGGTTTTTAAGAAGAAATTGAACAGCCGTTTGTCTGAAATGGTATAGCAGGGGGTTGGACTAGAGGACCTTCAAGCTACCTTCCAAGTCTATTATTCTGTTGAATTCAGAGTGCCAAAGGCCTGGGGGGGGGGAGGGTGGCTTGATAGCAGTCTTCCAATATTTGAGGGGTTGCCACCGAGAAGAGGGAGTCCAGCTATTCTCCAAAGTACCCGAAGGCAGGACAAGAAGAAACGGATGGAAACGAACCAAAGAGAGAAGCAACCTAGAACTAAAGAGAAATTTCCTGATGGTGAGAACAATTAACCAGTGGAACAACCTGCCTCTAGAAGCGGTGAATGCTCCAACACTGGAAGCTTTTAAGAAGAGACTGGACAGCCATTTGTCTGGAATGGTATATGGGATCTCCCGCTAGGGCAGGGGGTTGGACTAGAAGACCTCCAAGGTCCCTTCCAACTCTGTTATTCTGTTGTGTTCTAGTGATCTGGGAGATACCTAGCCTTGGTTTGCTCACTAGGATTAGTTCCACAGCTAGGTTTTCACATCTTCAGCATACAGGTAGTTCTCGACTTACAACCCCTATTGGGACTTGCTTAGAACATCTACACTTGCAACACACACACCCCTCTCCCCCATCTGTGAAATTTACCTGCTTGCTTCTCAAAATGACGCAGTATGGGTAAGCCCTCAATTTAAAACAGTTCACTTAGTGACTGTTCAAAGTTACAACAGCGCTGAAAAAAGAGAACACGGTTTTCCGCACTTAACGGCCGTCGCCACGTTCCCCATGATCGCATGATTAACATTGAGACGCTTGGCAACTGACTCGTATTTACGACGGGGTCGCAGTGTCTCCCGGGGTCAAGTGATCCCCCTTTTGCAACCGTCTGACAAGCCACGTCAATGGGGGAGCCGGATTCACTTCACAACCGTGTTGCTAACTTGACAACTGACGGTGATTCGCTTAACGAGGAAGGTCCTAAAATGGGGCAAAGCTCACTTAACCAAGGTCTGACTTAGCAACAGAAATTTTGGGCTCAACTGTGGCCGTTGAGGGCGACCTGTATAGGAATCATCCATGTCAGACATGTCAAACACAAGGCCCGGGGGGCAGATACGGCCCGCCAAGTGGTTTCATGTGGCCCGCGAAGCCATCCTGGAAACAGTGAGGGAACGGCCCCCGCTGCCTTGGCCCTGGCCCAGGCCGGCCAGGAGCCAATGTACGATTTTGTGGTGTCCATCTATGCTGAAACGCATTCAGTCTTAGCTCCACAAGGCCGTCCGGAAACAGCGAGGAACCAGCCCCTGCCGCATCGGCCCTGCCCTCTGGGTGCATGCTGGGGGGGTGTCACCCTTTGTGAGGAATGAAGAAATGGACCATGCCTTGGCGCTTGCCCCGGTCCCACCCCCTTCTGCCAGAGACCCTCCGATCTGTCCCACTCCTGCCCAGGCCCCCACAGGCCCCCTTGACGCGAACGATGTAGAGCTGGCCATGCCCACCCAGTAGGCCACACCCACACCATCCACGCCCACCCAGTAGGCCACACCCACCCTGGCCACATAACACCCCCCCCAGGGCAACCGCAATGCTGATGCGGCCCTCAATGAAATTCACCCCTGATCCATGTTATCCTTCCAAGGATGATCTGGCTCCCCACACATGCAGAGATGCAAACTGCCGGGTTACCTCTTTTCTACACCTGCTTCCAGTATTTCCTGCTCTGCCCACACGCCCCACCCTGCTGGCTATCATCCTAAGCTGTCATTAAGTGGCTGTTTACTGCCCTTCCCCAGACTGTTCTCGCAATCTTCTCTCGCCGTCCCCGCCAACCGCCCGTTTGCAGAAGAAGCAACAGAGATGCAAGAGAGGAACTCGTTGCTCAGTCGGGGCTTCCTTCGGCTCAGAGGCCGCGATTGCTCAAGACCATGTTTGCTTGTCAAAAACAAACACCCTTGGGACCTGTCTCAAGGTTGTCCCGTGATGTCCTTGGCTTCTGTCTTGGCCATCTTGTGTTTGGACGGGGAGGCGGGGATATGGGGGGGGAGGATTGGAGAGCAACAGGAATCTTCTCTAGAGTAGTAACAACTCTATAGTAGTAACTGTGAGAGGGATCTCGGAGTCCTAGTGGACAATCCCTTCAATAGGAGCCAGCCGTGTGCTGCAGCTGCTAGAAAAGCCAATGCAGTGCTAGGCTGCATCAACAGAGGGATAGAATCAGGATCACGGGAAGGGTTAATACCGCTTTACAAGGCCTTGGTGAGGCCACACTTGGAATACGGCATCCAGTTTTGGTCACCACGATGTAAAAAAGATGTTGAGACTCTAGAAAGAGTACAGAGAAGAGCAACAAAGATGATCGGGGGGCTGGAGGCTAAAACATATGAGGAACGGTTGCTGGAATTGGGGATGTCTTGTTTAACGGAGAGAAGGACGAGGGGGGACAGGATAGCAGCCTTCCAGTATCTCAGGGGCTGCCCCAAAGAAGAGGGAGTCAAGCTATTCTCCAAAGCGCCTGAGGACAGGACAAGAAGCAACGGGTGGAAACTAACCAAAGAGAGAAGCAACCTAGAACTAAGGAGAAACTTCCTGACAGTGAGAACAATTAACCAATGGAACAACCTGTCTCCAGAAGCGGGGAATGCTCCAACACTGAAGGTTTTTAAGAAGAAACTGGACAGCCATTTGTCCAAAATGGTATAGGGTTTCCTGCCTGAGCAGGGGGTTGGACTCGATGACCTCCAAGGTCCCTTCCAACTTTATTATTATTATTATTATTATTATTATTATTATTATTATTATTATTATTATTATTATTATT